CAAGCCATGCTCCCAGAACTCATGAGTTGCAAGTGAACTGGAGCATGCAGCCCCTGGGGCTTTCTCTTGCCATGTGCGGCTCTATTCCAGCCAAGCTAATGGTTTGACTTTTGGAAAGGTTGCTCAAAGACACTCCTTTAATTGAAAAAAAAAAAGGAAAATAAAATCCTGATAATGAACTTGACACATCTTGCTCAGATCCAGCTGTACACTATGTCCCTATCATCTGTGGCTGTGGACCAATTCCACATTGCAAGACTTAAGAACACAATATTGTCACGTTTACCTTGGATTCTGAGGTTTTATGGGAATGGATAGGGCTGATTTTCTGTTTAATCTGATTGTTTCTGGAGCTAGAATGTCCACAGTGGTATCTTCCTTTTTATGTCTGGTCCTCTGAAACCAGCCAGAGACTGGTCAGGCACTTCTCTCTGATGGTGACTCCACCTGCGCCCTTGAAACTTCCACATGGTGACTTAAGACTGCATGAACCCCATGAGGTTAACAGAGCATTGCACCCGCAGTGTGGATGTCCTTATGGCATTCTGGTTATGTCACATTGGCCAAGGAAAGTCACATGTCTAACTCAACCAGGGGTCACTGTTGGAGGAAGTCTCAGAAAAGCAGGAATCCTGGGAAGTGTGCTGATAGCCAGTTCCTGTGATGATGTGAGAAGCCCCCCAGAAAGAGGTGTGGCTACATCCCCAGGATATATTTTATTGGGCTGTGCTGCCCAGAGATGATTTTCAGGTAGGAAATTCTAATGCTTTTCTTTTGGTTTTATTTTTTGTTGCTGTGATGAGTACTCTGACAAAAGAAACTTTGTGGGAAAGGGGATTTTTTTGTAACTTCGTAAGTCCAGGTTATAGCCCATAACTATGGATAGGCTGCAGTGACAAGAGCTTAAAACAGCTAGTCATACCATATCCACAGACAAGAGCAGAGTCACACCATATCCACAGACAAGAGCAGAGTCACACCATATCCACAGACAAGAGCAGAGAGAAATGAACGAATGCACTCACTTGTTTGTTTGCCTGGTTTAGTGTGATTTCTTCACACACTCTTACACAGTTTAGGCCCGTCTTCCTGTCTAGGGAATGGCGCTGCACTCCATCTTCTCACATCTCTGAACAAGTGAGACAATTCCCCACAGAGCAGTCCACCGGTCTGCCTAGTGTAGACAACCCCTCCCTGACACTGTCTTCTCAGGTGACTCCAAGCTATGTCAAGTTGACAAAGCTGACCATCCCAGCTCCCATAACCTGATGTTCCAGAGGATAGCAAAACAAGAGATGAGCAGAGTCTTTCTAGTCTTGGGATGCAGGCTTTAGGAAATGGCTGTCCCCGCTCCAGCTTGCAAGCTGATATCCCCTCGCAATAATCCATTCCTTCATCCCTGCTGGGATGGCTGTCTGCACCCCACACATCACCGTTCACCTCTCTTCTCTCTTGTCCTCCAAGCTAGCAGTGGTGGAAAGGCCACAGCAGGAACATTGGCAGTGGGGTCGGTGATGGTGAGTGCTGGGGATGGTTGTCAGGTTGCTTGTTTATAAATGCAAGCCGAAAATTGATGGTAATAACAATGATAATAACAACAAAACATTTAATGTCCAGTGTTCGCTAGGTATTATCATTATTTATTTTGTTTTTAATTATTTTATTATTCTATATGTATAAGGGTTTTGGCTGCAAGTCTATTTGCCACATGTGTGCCTGGTACCTTTAGAGGTTTGAAGAAGGTAGAAGGTATAAATGGGCTATTGGCCATTCATTTCTTTATTAAACCAATCACAGCGATGTATCTTCACGCAGTTTACTAATATCCCACAACGTAATGAAGTATAGGAATAATAATAATGTATTATTCCAAGGCATCAGTTTTACTGATTTTGCTTTTATTTATTGGGTAGAATTCTGGGTTAATCTGACTCCCCAGACTGTTAAATTGTCCATGTATTATTTTATTATGCATATGTTTATCCTTTGTGCTTCATGCCCCTCATAGGCTCACAAACTTGCCATGTATACGCATGCTTCCAAAGCATGGATTGTGATCTTATATGTAACATGGTGAATTTACAGAAAAGGTAAAAGTGGACAGTTGTGTATGGATTTTAGGCCCGCTCAGAGTTAGAGATGCGGAAGGACCCTGGAGGGGGGCGTGGTATTAAATCTCAATGGCATCTGTTTTGTTTCATTGCTATGGCAACACTGATAAGCCAGGCACTGGATGGACAGTGTCTGACTCTGTAGGTCCAGCCTTTGGGGACTCCCACATTACACTACACCATAAATCATGGGAGGATTTTTATTTATATTGCCATCCCATGAGAGTATAACCCAGTAGCTGTTAGTGGAGCCACAGAGTAATGAGGCCGTCACCCTCCTTCTGGGATGTCCACATCATTCCCCAAAGAAACCTCATCCCTATTTATAGCCTTGCCCATCTTCTCCCTTCTTCTCTTCCCTTTCTTGGCGTGACCACTGGCCAACTTTATGTCTCTCTGGTGAGAGATAGAAACAGACCTTCTTCTTCTAGACAATTTATCTAGCAGGGAATCCTATAATGTGTGGCCTCCTATGGCAGGCTTATTTTATTTACAGTAATATTCAAGGATCATCCATGCTGTGGCATGGATCAATACTTCGTTCCTTTGCATGGCTGAGTAGTATTCCGTGGCACACACGCATTTCGTTTGCCCTGCCGTTTGTTGCCTCACTGGGGGGAACTGGGCACTGGCGAGAGCTGCGTTTGAAAGCTGGAAATCAAGGACACAACCAAGTCAGGAGGATTTCTCAGTCAGGAGGCTAAGGAGACAAAATTAATGTTTTAGGAAGTTACTATGGCAGGCCTGTGGCACTCAGGTCTGCAGGGAGGCGGAGATAGGAGTGAAGCTAAGCAGACTACACCAATCAGGAAAAAAACGTCAGGAAGACCCCTGTGTCGGGTGCAAACCCCATCTCCCTCTGGGTCCCCTCAGTTCCACTCACTCGCTTTTTCTCCTCCCCTTCCCTCTATCCAGCTCCCTCCCTTGTCCCTCTTTCAGCTCCTTTCTTTCTCAGTGCCTTCTCTCTCCTTTTCCCTGTCTCTCTTTCACTCTCTTCCCCCTTTCTCCTCCCGGATTTCGTTTCTCCTTCCCTCCCTCCATTCCTAGTCCCCTGACTTCCCCTCATTCTGTTTTTTCCTTCCTTTCTTTCTCTCTACCCCTCCCTTTCTGATTCTCTTTTCCTCCCCCTCCCTGCCTAGTTCCTTTTCCCTCCCTCCTGCGCTCCTCCCTCTTTCTCTCCCTCTCTCCCTCCCTCCCTTGCCTAGAGCCACCAGCCTGGAAGCCTAGCTCATCTCAGGCATAAGGCCAGGGTGCTTTCAGCCCTGACTCCTCTTTCCTTCTGCATGGCTGTTGAGGATCAGCTGGTCACACGCCTTCCTGGAATGTGCATGATTATAATTGCCTCGTGCACAATTATCTGCCAAGCCCTGTCGGTAATGAAATGAATGATTTAGTTACCCTTGTTAGGAACAGCCCACAATGCTCAGAAACTCATTATGGCAGCCACGAGGCTGGCAGGAGTGCCCTCGGAGGCACCTGCGAGTGAGTGGCTTTTACAATTAGCTCTCTCTTCTCTGCCAGATACCACAATCCCACCCTGCCCCCACAAGGAGCCAAGTGCAGGAAGCTTTCTAGAGGAAAACCAATAAACAAGCTTGGGGCTAAGGTTCAGCTGCAGAGCTTGCTGGACAAACACAGGGCCTTGGGTTTGATGTCCATCACCGCAAGAAATACGAGGCTGGGCAGGACTCCCTCTCTGCCAGCTTCCACCCACACAACATGAAACCGCTTTCTCACACTGCATGGGAAGGCTTACCCAAAGCTCTGTGGAGATGAACGCAGTGTAGAGCCCACCAGGGTTCTGAAGGAAGCTTGCTTTGCCAACTAAAGGCAGGGCTCAAGTGGGCACATCCTATGCCACCTTCCCATCCCTCACTGCCTCTCTGGAGGCTTTCCTTGTCCATCTTTTCATAGAGATGCTTCAGCCTTGGCTCCTGCCGCAGTCTTTCTCTACTGACTATAGCTGTTGAGTTTCAAGGGTAAGAAGAATAAAGGAAAACAGAGATGGGTGTGGGGAAAGTTGAAGCCAGGGATGCAGACAGAGATGCATGGTGTTTGAGGAATGCTGTGCCACATGCCCACGTGCTCTCTTGTCTTCTGGAAGATTCTATTCAAGAGTAACTTCTTTGGGATGGGAAAGAGCGGCCTAGAGCAGAGACACCCCCCCCCCCAACACACATACAGTTTCAGTTTGGCTTTGAAACAGAGTCATTGCTCATTGACCACTCCCAAGGCAGCATATTTCAGAGGCCTGCAGGGCAGGGAAGGTTCCTGAACCTAACCTGGCTCTGATGTGGGAAGTCCTTCTGTCAATGTGTTGCTTTTATTGGTTAATGAATAAAGAAACTGCTTTGGACCTATAGCAAGACAGAACTTAGGTAGACAGGGAAAGCTAGGCTGAATGCTGGGAGAAAGAAGGGCGGAGTTAGGGAGAAGCCATGGAGCCGCCAGAGTCAGACATGCTAAAACTTTACAGGTAAACCACTGCCACATATTGATACACAGATTAATAGAAATGGGTTAAATTAATATGTAAGAGTTAGCTTATAAGAAGCTAGAGCTAATGGGCTAAGCATTTAAATAATACAGTTTCTGTGTAATTATTTCAGGGCTGAGCAGCTCAAAACCAACGAGGGGTGTACTCCCTCCAACCTGGCTCCACTCATTTCATGGTTCCAGTCTGAATAAGTCATGCTCATAAACACCTGTGCTTAATTCTGCAGCCTCCAGAGAAGTCATTCTATAAAAATGTTGAGGCAGCTTACAAAGATGATGATGAAACAACTGGATCAACTAGATTCCGTAAGAGGGATAGAACGTGCAGATTCCCCTGAGGTTGCCAAGACAGGGTCTGCCCCTGAGAAACTCTACTGTGACCAGAGAGGCAGCCTACAGAATGTAAGAGGTACAGCCTTGACTAATTTTGAGACTGAAGAAGACACAGAATCGGTAGGAGCCAAGTGTGTGTGTGTGTGTGGTGGTGTTCCTAAGAAAGGTCTGGCATGAGTCTCCCCAGGCAACACCAGCAGGGTGGCCAATAAGAGCTGGGGACACGACATTGACTGACTGTCTTCGCTGCTTCCGCAGTCATTTCTAAGATCTAATGATAATCACCAAGGGTGCTCTTCTCTAACAATGAGGGATTTGTTGGTGGTGGTGGGGACAGAAACATCCTCCTATTTGCATGGGATTGAGGACCATTTCCCTAGGGTGCCTTGATCCCCAAAAGACTGCCAAGGTTTGTTTATTTTATAGCCCGAGGGTTAGAAAACTCTTTCTTTGATCTCAATGGAAGAGGCCTTATCAGAGAGGGAAGGAGGGAGGGAGGAAGGAGAGAACTGGGATGGAGAAAGGGGCAGAGAGAGAGAAGGGGGGAGAAAGAAAGGGAATAGAGGGAAGGAGGGTGTGAATGCAGGAGAGAGGGAGGCAAAGTAGTGGGGGGTGAAGGGAGGTAAGGAGAAAAGGAGGAAGGAAAGAGAAAAAAGGGGGAGGGAGGAGGAGGGAGGAGGGGAGAAGAAAAGGGAGGAGGATGGAGGAGGAAGGGAAGGAGGGAGAGAAGTGGGAGGAGTAGGGGGAGGAGGAGCAGGAGGAGGAGCGGGAGGAGGGAGAAGAAGGGGGAAAAGGAAGGGCTTTATGGATGCTTGCACTGGATGATTGTCAGATCCAACAGGAAAAGGACTATTTTGAATGTGCATCAAGGTTGATTACTCTCCACCCTGAAGGACAGTCCCTGACCCAGTGAGCACAGTGCATCCCACTTACCAAGTGTGTATCTCTGACCTCCAGACTGTCTGGACCTGAATCTCAGCCTCACAAACTGTGTGATGTTGGGCAAGTTCCCTAACCTTTCTGTGCTTCGCTTCCCTCATTAGTGAAAGCTTATTGTAAGTACAGTTTCTTGTTCTCTGCCTCAGGGAAGAACCATGTCTTACCTGGGGACCCCAGGGATGACTTAACCCACTCAGCGGTAAGGCAGATGACCAAGAATGTCCCCACGGGCTGCAGTAGCTGTTCTGAGAGCAGGTGGGCTAAGCAGGGCTGGGGGCAAAATATGAGGGTCTTTCTACTGTTTTGTTTGGGGTGGACAGAGATCTTGGGCAGCATTTAGTCACGCTTCCTTCTCAGTGGGGATGGCCCATAAGCTGATGGGAGCACTTAATGGGGGGGGGCTCTGTCATCACTGGACTTCCCAGTAGACATCTAGCCCAATTCTCTTGAACTGACCTGCTATCCCTAGAGTAGGGTGACTTCTCAGGATTTCAGGTCCTGCATGGCAGTCTCCCAAGACTCCCATGGCAATTGTAAGGATTGGGAGTGTGAAGACCCAAGACTGACAGGGAATGGCACCCAGCCTTCAGATGGCAGAGTTTTACCTTCCAAGAACAGCATCTCCAGGATTTGGTCCTAGTCAGGGTAGCCAGTGATCCAGTCCCCACAGGGAATTCGCAGCCTCTCTCTAGGATTAGACTTTGCGTGGTACTGACAATGCTTGTCATGAGTGTGAAGAAGAACAGAAGCAGTGGGAGGTTTTGTTGCAGATGGACAAGGGACTTGGGTTAACACGGAGCAGAAAGTGAGTTGTCAGACACGGAGAAGCAGGTAGTTAGTGTCAGGAAATGAGAGGATGAGACTGGCCCATGCGCAGAGCAGTACACAGGTCTCAGGCGGGGAGGCTCTGAAGCAAGGGCCACCTGCAGATACTATTGGAGCACTTCAAATGTGATTCTTCAGGGTAGGTAGTGGCACATGATAGGATGGCACATGATAGGATGGTGACGGGTGCAAGGACTTGGGTTCTGATTGGAGACCAGATGAGGATCTGTGCAAGCAGTGTCAAGGGCACAGAGGGTGACATCAAACGCAGTGTGTACCCACAGGAGTGTGCAGCCCAGCAGGTGCAGCCCGGCATGGTTCCAGGCAGTCACTGTTTTTTTCCACATCTTGAGATCGTGCCATTGTCCTGGTCCCAGGTGTATAAACTGGAGAGTTCCTAGCCGTGGTCCTTGGTGTCTTTACAGGGTTACAGGGCACAGTCTGTCAGAAGAGGAAACTGAGGCACTGTTTCGTAAAGAGCCTGGTAGGAGATGCCCTGGGGTCACTGTAGAGCCAGGTGCAAGTGTTCACAGACTAGGTTGGCTCCTAAACTGGGGTGCTGTCCTTTGTCTTTGAAGTGAGGAGGGTAGATCTATGGAGGAGAGGTCTATGGACAGCTGTTTAAATCTCGGCTCTGTAGGTGTGGGTTAGGGGGAGTAGAGGGAGGAAGAGGTGATCCGGAGTTTGCAGTGACTACAACTTTCCTGCAGGTCATTGCTACACAGGGAACTGAAGGAGAGATAAGGATTCCACAGGTTGAGACAGACAGAGGCCTGATCCTTCAACGCTGTGAGAGAGGGGCAGGGGAGAAACAGACTCAACACTGGGACAGGAAGCCAGGATTTATGTTACGCTGGGTCAGACAGGCCACAGGGCACTGGAGAGGCCCATGCACACAGCTTCTAGGTAGTGCCACTGATTTTATTTTGATGGTTTATTTATTTATATTTTATTATATTTTGAGACAAGATCTTGTCATGTAGCCCAGGCCAGTCTTGAGTTCATGTCTACATGGTAAGAGCACCTTTGCAAGAGACGATGTTCTGAGACAGTCCACACTGGGATGGGAGAAGACCGTCCGCCTCCTGTGGTGCTGTCTATCCTGAGGTCCTCCTGACCCTTGTCCCCTGTTCCTCTGGTTCCTCTCTTTGACTTTAAGAAAAGCAGGGTGAATGGTCAGAGTGGACACAGACGGCTTTGTGTCCACAGATGGAGTAACTTTTGCTGCCATTCAGCCATGACAAGTTCTTATGTTCCAGGGTAGGGGTGTGTGGATTAGGAATGTTAGGTAGGAGGAACAGAGATGTGAAAGAAATACAGAGACATAGGATAGTACCAGGAGGGCAACTAAGTGAATATTGAATATTGAATTCGCCTGTGTTTAATTTTCATATACTTTTATACCCCTATACAGAAGTGGGGGAAGAAGGCAAAAGACAGCTTTACCATGACACAAAGGACAACCAGAACAGTTGCTTGCTTCAGTACTTGAGACATCAAGCCATTATTTCCTGAATAAAGCATTTTGGGGCAGGAATATGCAGTGAACACACCTTAGACCAAGTATCCTGTAGGCAGCCACTCCCAATATCAAATCCTCCTATTTTAAAAGAAGGAGCACAGGAATAGGCTTGAATTCTCCGACCTTTGGTCAGGGTGGAGCAGATCCATCTCTATGGGCCATCTTGATGTCCAAAACACCAAGCAACCACACCTGACGTCAACAGCTTTGAAAGAGCAAGCATAAGCTCAAACTCTCTGACTTCCAGTCAAGGTGGAACAGGCTCACATCTGTGGGCCTGCGTGTGTGAATGCATGTGAGTGTGTGAATGCGTGTGGGCATGTGAATGCATGTGTATGTGTGCATGCCTGAGAGTGTGTGAGGGGATAGGACTCACCAGCAGACCCGAGCGCAGGGTCAGAGAACTTCCAGGTGAGGTGGGGCCAGAGGATGCTTCAGCCGGACTCCTGTCAGCCTTCACAGCTGGAACAGCAATCCTGGTGGCACTCACTGAGGAGCCAAGAGCAGCCCCTGGAGGAGTAAGTAAACAGTGAAGGACCAGAGGGTTCCGTGGGAGGTGGAAGGAGTCAGGGATGCTCCGTCGGAGCCAGCCTTAGAGTATGAGACGAGAGAAAAACGGAAGAGGGGGCTCCTCTGTGCCTGCGTGGCCCTGACCTCCACCCCTTACTTGATGCACATATCTCTAACTCTGTCCCTTGAATCCTGTCATCTCGAAGCCACTGCCATAGACTGCAAATTTCAAATAGAGCAACCAAGGGTGAACACAAGGACCAATGTGGCCAATAACATGCTTTGCAGTGTATGGACGGTGCATGTCCAATATCCCAAAGCAAGTCCGGAAAACAGTGGCCATGTCAGGGAGGTGGGGAGGAGAGTCATAGACTCACGGAAGGAGGCAGGAAGTGCAGGCAGCATGGGTTTAGACAAGATGCAAACCCTGCTTCTACTTCCAGGTGCTGCCTTGGCATACCCTGGAAAGCTGTGGAATACACAAGGCCAGGCCTCAGACAACAGAGGTAGGAGAACGTTCATTTGTTCACTCGGCCTACCTGACATTCTGAGGTTAAGAGGTGGGGCTGAGCTTGCTTTGGAGCCAGCTAAGGGAGGGCTGGGGGTGGTGGAACAGCCATCCAGATATCCATTGTTTCTTTCTGCTTCTCTGGATTCAGGGACACTCCTGGCTTCTGGTCCCTATGTCACTCCCAGAGAATTAAAGAACCTTCCTAGCTCTCAGTTTCTCCAGGTAGCAATAATCCCTGTGGTTTTAGTCCCAGGGGGATCCTTAGAACTGGCAGGATCCCTTGCCTACAACTTGGGCCCGCTGTTCTTTCCAGGTCATGTATTCTGATAGATGTAGGTCTTTTGGGGGGCACTTAAGGGATAAGTCAGAAGGCCCTGGAGAAGTCACCGTCCTTTTCATCTGTGACTGTTCTACCCCTGTGACCAACCTTGGTGAGTCATCTTAACCGGAAGTAGGCTTAAGATCTGGTGGCTAGACAGACGTGTGAATTCACCATGGCTCCAGACCACACAGCCACTGATGTAGATGGGCCTTCTACTTTCATTGGTTAATAAACAAACTGCCTTGGCCCATTTGATGGACCAGCCCTTAGGTGGGTGGAGTAGACAGAACAGAATGCTGGGAAGAAAGGAAGTGAGGCAGATGCCATGCCTCTCCTATCTAAGGCAGACACGATGAAGCTCTGACCCAAGATGGACGTAGGCTAGAATCTTCCTGGTAAGCTACTGCCTCATGGCACTACACAGATTATTAGAAATGGGTTAGTCGAGGTGTGAGAGTTAGATAAGAAGAGGATAGATATAATGGGCCAAGCAGTGTTTATATGAATACAGTTTGTGTGTTGTTATTTTGGGGCGTAAGCTAGCCAGGTGGGAATGCTGCCCGCAGCTCCCCACTACAAGCCACTACCATTTCTGCCTGCTGCTGCGAACCTCTGCCCAGCTCTCTAAGCCCACAAATGGGCCTTTCCTTGGATCTTTGGGAACCACTATTCCACAGGTTCGCAAGGAGCTTTTGCTGTGACAGTCACAGCACCTACCCCAGGAGGCTCCCAGTGGGGACTGAGGCAGGGGCGTCAGTTCATTTAGGTAATTACGAGTCAGGGGAAACAGTTAAAGGCACAAGCTGGGGGCACATAGGAGGGGCAACACCTGCTCCTGGGCAAGGGCCTGGGGTGTCAGAAAAAGCTTTTCATAAAAGGTGGTAACAGTTTGTGCTAGTCACAAGAAAGAAACTGCGCTGGGCTCAGAGGCCCTTGTCACACTGCCAGTGGAGGCACTGAAGCTGCAGAGGTGTCAAGCACATTACAGATGTCAGGAAGCAGGGGCAGGATGCAAAGCGAGGTGCTGTGACTGTAGAACCTGTACCCCTACCCCATTCATAGCCAGGTGCTCTGGCTACGTATCCATAGCCTCTAGAGGAGCCAGTGAATCGTCCGGATGGTGCCAGGCCCACCTGCTCCTTTCTTATTTGTTTACTGTCTGCCAAAATGGCAGAGTGACCCACTCCAAACACCAAAGGATCTTACACTACCTTCGTGGGTGGCTGGCAACTTGGCTGAGGTTGAAGGGCCATAGTTGTCCCTCCTTCTGCCACTTCCAGAACCTGTGGAGGAACCACCTCTGGGCTCTGTTTTTTCTCCTGATCTGTGACTTATTTCTGTCTCCCTCCCAAAAGGACAAGTTTAAAGGCGGGGCCCATGACTTAAAAAATCTCTTTAAATAAAGGTAGGCCCTGTAGAGTGGCTGGTACTGGGTGGGGCACACCGATACCTCACAGGACACGAAGTATGCCTTAGAGAGCTTGTCATTTTATTGGGAGAGCCAGCCACTCTGCTGCCACTCTAAACCTTGGCCACTCCCCCTCTCACCCATGCCAGCTTCTTGCACAGAATCCTCAGTAGCTCCCTTGGCTTCCATGACCCTGGAAGGCAGGTGTTCTGCCAGTGTGACTTGGTGCTCAAAACGGTGCTCATATGGACAACCGTTGAGCCAACCAACACAATATTGCAATTTATCATAAATAAATAGTAGAAGCCATGTTCCTCAACCAGCCTCCGGCCCCTTCCTGAACCACCTCCTTTCCCCTGATTCTGATGGAGGCCTGTGTCCTTGGTCAGGGATCTCCCTCCACCTAAAGCTCCCCAGGAGCTCAGCGCATTTGGGTGCCATATTCTTGAAGCAGTATCTCCTCCCCTTTGTTGGCGTCAGTCCATCTTCAGTCTGCCTCTGACCTATAGAACAATTCCTGTTCTATTGGCCCCAACCCTGGAGGTTGGAGTGCATCTTCCGTCCTCAGGCAGACTTTGAGCTCCTTGTGTATAGGAAGGACCGAGGTGCAAACTTAAGTTCAGCCCAGCTCCTTGATCCCTTGATGCCCATCAGGACATCATACGTTGTCGATATCCCGAGGGGTCCATAGTTGTGGTCTCCAGTTAGACACACACACACACACACACACACACACACACACACACATGATCTTGGACACAGTGGAGTCCTCTCACAGTGTCACTCAGTATCAGTCTTCAAAGCCATGAGTGTCAGTGTCCTGATCGAACTTTGTGACTTGATTCTCAACTTTGTCCCCTTCCTTCAGGTTCATGACTGCCTGGCTCCTGGCTGACCTCACTCCTTCTGCTCGCTTCTCAACGACAGGGGGCTGGGACTGAGGACACGACAGGAAGTTATGGAGGAAAACATGTGCCTGAAGAACCACTGCGAGCAGCCAGCATGAGCTGGGGTCCCCGGAGCCTTCTGAACTGGGGCAGTGAAAGGCTCCCCTAGACTTTACCAGTTTGGATGTCAGTTCTGCCTGTTCCTTGTCATGTGACATGGAACTTTCCTGGGAGTGGGTTGGAGTGCAGTTTGTATGTATAAATGGAGAGCTACAGTACCCATTTACTAAATTGCATCATTATTGCTTGTGCTTCTATTTCAAGCTGAAGCAGAGGGTTAGAAAGTTCAATCTGAGGCCAGATAAGCCACTGGATGGAAAATGAGTGTAGGGTCATGGGACCTGGGAAGGGCCGCAGTGTGAGAAAAACAGCTCCTGGGGAGCAGATCCAACTCAGGTCTCAGCCACCACCTTGTGTGCGGCAACCAAGAAGCCCCTTTGCTTTTCTCTTCCTTTCTTTCCTCTTTACTTTTATTAGCCTTTTTCATGGTTGGGGACTGAATAACCTAGGACACGGCACACGGCCTCTGCCACAGAGCTGTGTCTTAGCTCTTTCCATTTTTATTCATTTTTAGACAGAGTCTTTTACTAACTCTCCCAAGTCAGTCTTGAACTAGTAATCTTCCTGATTCAGTCTCCCTACGAACTGGGATTACAGGCCTGGCTAACAATCTAAGTTTTCGACAACAACAACAAAAATCCTTCCACGATCAAGGTTAGGCTTGGCATGTTCAAAAGTCCTTTTGCGATCACCCAGAAGTTTCTCCCCTGCTTTTCCAAGCTAGTGGCCATCTGCCTGCAAACAGGTAGACACCATGGGGAAAGAAGGCCCATAGAAACAGGCAGAGTGGCTGTTGGGCTCCCCTGGTTAGCCCTGTAGGTAGCATGTCGTCTCACTGAACTTCCCCTTCACGCTCAGCAGATGGCGACCGTGCGCTAGTGCTGCTGATTCCTGGACGCCATGGAATTGTTTGCAAGGTAAAAAAAAAAAAAAAAAAAAAAAAAAAAAAAATCCTCCCCCTGCTCCTGGAGCTCTATCAGACAGGTCAGGATGTCATTCCAGGTATCCCCCTGCTCCTGTCTGGAGCTCTATCAGGCAGATCCGCATGTCATTCCAGGTATCCAGCGCAGGTGCCTTCCTTCAGCTGGATGTCGGAGCTTGGAGCCGGTCCTTGGACAAAGAGATGCTGGGGAGGTAGCATCTCCCTACCTTGGGTTCCTCATTCTTCATCTCTGCACCCGCATGGAGGTCGGTACCTCCTACCCAATAGCAACAGGATTCTAGATTAAATTAAATGGAAAACAAACAATCTAAAAGACAATATATGGCAAAGGTCATCAGACAGCAAAGCCATCTTTACACGTCAGTGGGGGAGGAGCCTGGCTAGGAAACCTGGAGGGTCTGCAGGATCACGTGGTTGGATCATAACTCACGTGTGGCAGTGTGAAAATCAGGGGCCTCTTTCTTGTAGGCCTCTTACAGGTCTTGTTGCCTGGGTTCTAGAAAGAAGGATGAGATGTCGGAAGGATCCTAGTCTCTGAAACCAGACTACCCAAACCCAGTTTGGCCATTTATTAGTTGTGTGCCTTTGGACAGCATCTAAACTTCCAGAACCTCAGTTTCCTTATCTGTAAGGCCGAGGCTGCAGGGGCTTAAACTGCACATGGTTATGTGTACTCTGATTTGTTTTAATAATAAAAACCCAGAGTCAGATATTGGGGTACATGCTGAAAGATCAGAGAAGTAAAGGAGTCAGCCACTAGAGAGACTTTTTAACTCTACTGAATCCTCAGACTGAAGGGGTCAAGATCCTTTCTCCATGAATCCTCAGACTGAATGCCTTGAGCTGTCTCTGCCTGCCTTATATTCCTCTCTCTACCCAGCCGTATTCCTTCCCGTCTCTACCTCCATAATGCTGGGATTAAGGGCATGTGACTCCCAAATACTGGTATTAAAGGTGTGTGCCACCATTGCCTGGCCTCTATAACTAGTGGCTAGCTCTGCACTCTGATCTTCAGGCAAGCTTTATTTGTGAGATCACAAACAAATTATCACCACAATTATGTATTGTTTAAAATGATTATAGAGTCATAATGTATCTGGTATAGCATAGGTGCTAAGCTAATGCTTGGCTGCTATCATTTTTCTTTTGTTTTAGTTTTTCCTTCAGGAAAATAACTAAACCACCTGTCCTTCCCAAAGGGGTGTCTGAAGTTCCAGGAGGAGACAAGCCTGGAGAAAGAAGAGCCCAAGAATGGACATAGTTCCCTTCTCCCTCTCAAGGTTTTCCTTCTGCAAAAACCTAAATCAGGGTCTTCCAGCATGTTTATTGACATGGTACCATGCTCTTCAACTGGTGGGCCAGAGTCCAGTGTGTTCTGGCTGGGAAGTTATGTGATGTCCCTGTGGAGGTTCGGGAGGAAGCAGGTCGCTGCTGGGCTGAGTGACAACTTGGGAGATGGACATCTCTGTGCTGGCTTAGCTTGTCTCAGAGCTGGCCCTTCCCTGGGGTCATGAGGACAGACCTTTGCTGCTCCTTAGTGCCTCCTGGAGGCAGGGAAGGTGGCCTTCCAGGAGCTCAGTCAATAGCCCAGAAAATGAGCTAGGGTGGGGGTGGGGGAGTAGTTCACACACTCACATACTATCCTGCACCCCCAGCTGGCTCTCCATCGTGAGCTTAGCTGGCTCCTGCCCGATCTCAGGTGAAAGCTTACTGAGGATTTTCTCTACAGGTTTGTGGGAGTGTGCCCAGTTGTGAGGGAAACATCTCCATCCTCCGACTGGTGAGAAGACCCTGTTAGCTCCAGGATCCTGAGTGGAACCCTCAGTTATGCTTTGAGCTACAGTCGTGTTGGTACATGATCCTGAACAGGCCTTTCTCATCCCAGCGTCTTCCTTGGTCTTCCTACATGTTGGAGTCTCGGTAGCTACCACCTTTGTTCTTTGAGCTAACCACAATAAATGAGCATGACAGGAAATGTTTAGCTGGTGCCCGGGGCTCATTCCCATCAGCTACAACGTGAGAGCTTCAGCTAGATGACCCGTAAGGGCAAACGTCTTGTGACCCATGACTGCTGACCAGACACAGGTGCCTGAGTACCTTGAGACTTAGGGGCCATCACTGGCAGATACTGGTGACAGTCTGAGGTGTCCGTCATAGGGATTGGGAGTCCCTTGGCTCATTGTCAGTGCTAGCATGCTGAAACTTGATGACACATGGGGGTGGCTGATAAGGACAAGGGTTGGGAAGATTCCTGGGATCATGGGCTGGTGCTGGAGGCTTTTTTCTGAACAGTGGAAGGTCTTCCTTCTGCTGGTGGACAAGGGGCCTAAAGAAGAGGACCCAGAGAGGGGAGTGGTCCCTCCTCAGGATGGCTTCTGATGCTCTCCCCTTTTCCTCCTATGTTTTCCTTCTTCTAGGATTAGCCTATGGCCGTCACTGCTCACTCTTTCTGCTATCTCTTCACCAAGTGCCCTTCACAGATGACTTTCAAAGCAACCATGTTGGTCTCACCATCCTTCTCTTCAGCTTCCACCAGAAGACGGTTCCCAAGGGACACGGGAAGAGGCTGACTAAGGACGGAGGTGTCTCCATGGAGACCTGGGTAGAGCAGCTCTCAGCTCAGCAGACCCCGCCCCAGAGCTGCGGATCATCGGGCTCATCCAGTGAAAGGGGAATCTCTTCCCTTCTGGAGTTCAGGAGGAATGCAGTGGAACCAGGCTTCCTACCCACTGCTCGCAGTAGCTATTTGTGTACCTCCTGCCTCTACTAGATAGAGTCCCCTAATGGAAGGGACTGTCGTCTTTTCATTGGCCACTGCACTGCTCATCGACTTCATTGCAACAAATGTGCCTCTAAGATTTGGCGTCTGCAAATGGTGGTCATGGCCACTGGTAAAGAACAGTCCTGGGTGTGGACACAGTCAAGGATGCCTTGCTATCTGGCTTTTGGGAAACTTACGTGGTTTCCAATGTGGCTGTCAACAGTTACCCCCTCCCCCACATAGCTTTGGGCTCACCACCCTCTGCACATGTGTCCCTGGAGCTGTATGATTCCATAGTACATGGTCAGGGGGACAGAAAGGGACATATGAATGGATCAGAATTGTTTTGTCAACCTGTGGGTTTTCTGCTTTGTTCAATTGTTTCTTTTATAAATATCAGCAAATAAAATCATCTAAGATTGATGCTTCTCCCGTCTCAGTGGGAGACACTAGGAACTCTGAATGAAAATTGTGTAACAAGCCTCTACCGAGGAATAACGGGACTGGTGAGAAATGGTTGATCTTCATTTAGTTCACACATAGAAGTCTCCTGACACACACCCCGTGAACACCCGAGGCAGGTGGGTGAGCTGGCCCCAAGGTCATAAGAGCAAGAGACAGCTACCACTGTCTCACACCAGCTGCAGTTGGTGTGGAGGAGCCGGCCCCGAGACTCGCCAGGGCAACCTGATAGAACCAAGCCATGCTGTTGATGGAGATGTGGATGAGCCAGCCCCAAAGTTGTGAGCATGGAAGAGCTATCCCCATCACTCATCTGTCATATGGCCGCATGAGTGGCAGAGAGATGCCCCTTCCCTTGCCCATCAATGCCTGGGGCAGGTGCGAGAGCTGATCCTTACTTTACTTAGGGATATGTTGAAGTTCACTCTTTCCTGTGTATAAAAATAATGTGTTTTTTTATTTTCCAAACATCAATTGATATTATACTATTGAACATTTTTTGACTTTCAAACTAACCCTTCCCATCAACACACTGCTTTAAAGCGGAAGTCCCAGGATCACTGCTTTGACTTCCTGGTTGTCCCTCTGCAGCAGTGAGGAGGACAGTGAAGAGGTCAGAGCCACACTCCGATCAAGGGTGTGCCACGTCCATGCCTTCCAGTGCTTCCAATGGACATAGCACTAGCCTGTGGGTGTGCGAGCCTGTGGGTGTGCGAACCTGTGAGTGTGCAAGCTTGTGGGTGTGCAAGCCTGTGGATGTGCGAGCCTGTGGGTGTGTGACCCTGTGGGTGTGTGAGCCTTTGGAAGTACGAGCCTTTGGCTGTACAAGCCTGTGGGTGTGCGGACCAGACACCTCTTCTCTTGCAAATGAGAGAAGTGAGCCTGAGAGGCTCAGAGGTCAAGTGATTTGTCCAAGGTGACTCAGAGTATAAAGGAATGCCAATGGAGGCCAAGCTCGTCTTATTCTGGAGCCTATTCCCTAAAAGTGCTTGGAAGGGAACGGGGTCAAGCGCTGAGTTCTGCCAAGGAAGTTTCTGAGTAAAATGGAGTCTTTAGAAACACCTATCATGAGGTGAGCACAGATGTGGCTCAGCTGTGCCCCCTGGCAGCAGAGTTCCATCTTAGTGCACAATCTCATTTCATTTCTAGTGTTTGCAAAGTACTCCTGGGGGAGGGGGAGCCTGAGTTCCTGCCTTTCTCCTGCCTGCTTTCCCTCCTGGGCTAGAGCTGGCCTGCCAGAGAGAGCAGCCAGCAGGTGGTGCTGTCTCAGTTAAGACGCTGTGAAATGGCAGGAAACTGGCTCCCAACCTTTACTGTGTGGATGTCCCACTCTTTGGTGACTGTCTCATGACCCACACCAGGACACTGACTTGTCTCCATTTCAGTGACTTGAAGTAGCCAAGGGCTTGGTGGAAGGAGAAAATTAGAACAAACAAATAAAGACCTTCCTCTGGCCTCAGTTCTGCAGAAAAGCCCTAATGACAGTCCTACCACCAGGAGTGGCCATGGCCCTGCCATTTGCCCCTCAAGACCCTCCCCCACCTCCTTATCTGAACTAACACTCCGGTCTCCAGATCTATAAAGTAGGGTCACTCGCAGCACCCACCTCCCAGCATTGACTGTGTTGGCGCTAGCGTTCCGTTTCGACCCAGTTTACCTGGAGATGGGATCAGATACAGAGGGTGTGGGCCTGACTGTAAACCCAGGCGGATTCAGCTGGACTTCTGGCCCAGGGGTTGTGAATCCTGATGTCTGCAGCCCCCTTCCAGACTGGCCTATGGGCCTTGGAGAAATTCATGTATTAACCTATTCGATCTAAAGGCTGCAGATAAAGAGTCACAGGACAAGGCCTTCATGCTGCTGAGCACACTCCAGGAACCCATGTGTCTTCAGCATGCAAGCTCTCTGACATTTTTATGGAGATTGCATTACATGGACATCGCTGACGAAGTTGTTAGCTGCGAGTAGTAACAAACTGACATCCATCTGTCTGTCTTCCTAGTCCCCGCTAGCTGCCTTAGTTCTTCCAGTGACAAGCCCCCATGAAGGTCTCCAGGGACTTCAATCTTCAGACCACTTGCTGTTATTGAGGGAAAAACCCTCCATTTTGAAGATTCCAAGGCTCTTAGAGATCTTGTTATCGGACACCGAGATGAAAACCAGACATCATGACTGCACCGCTCAGTTCACGTATTCTACACAGACCCCATGATAACCTAGAAACTCGGTACTATCTTTTCCATCTTACAGAAGGAAAAACAAAGTTTTGGACAGGTTAATTTACTTATCCACACCATGTAACTAATAATAAGAAGTACAGTCTGGGGAAGCTAAAGAGATGGCTCAGCGGTTAAGAACACACACTGCCCAAGCAGAGGACCGGAGTTCCCAGCACCCCCTTCAGTCAGCTCACAACCGTCTGTAGCCCCAGCTTCCGACACCTTCTGACCTGCAAGGACAGCTGCACTCCTATGAAAACACCCCCACAGAGATACACATGCATACACATAATTAAAAAACAAAAAAATACAAAACAGGAAGTGGACGGGGGCATTCCAGCCTTGGACTTTGTCTCCCAAATGCATGCTCTTTAACCCCCCAAAGTGTAGTAGTCTTCTTTCCCCCCACCACCATACACACACACAGGGGAGAGAGAGAGAGAGAGAGAGAGAAGGAGGGAGAGAGGGAGGGAGGGAGAGAGGGAGGGAAGGAGAGAGGAAGGGAGGGAGGGAGAGAGAGAGAGAGAGAGAGAGAGAGAGAGAGAGAGAGAGAGAGAGAGAGAGAGAGAGAGAGAGAGAGAGAGCGAGAGCTCTGGCTTGGGCTGTAAGTTTGCATCTCACGAGGTTGGGAAATGACTTCCACTAATCTAGTAGAATAATCCCAGGGTTCTAAAGGACCATGTAGCTCACATAGCCAGACACAGGGACTGTTGGCAGCAATCTCTTTGTTGGTAGAAAGAAAGGTGAAGCCTTCTGAGAGCTCCAGTGCGTGGTGGCTGGCCACCAGCCAACAGACTGCGATCCATGATCACAGCCCTTAGTATCAGAGTCCTGCCAGCAGCTTCAGCCAACTGAAACTATGTCAGTGTTTCTCCCCAGATTACTAAGACAGAAGCAGGGTAGGAGGGTGGAATCCATCAGTGGGCTGAGCCGTTGAGGGGAAAGAGAAGGCAGACATTAAAATAGCAGCAGATGGATACTACGTAATTTCGAGCAGTCAATAATGTCACGCCAAAAAGCTGGTACGGCCGCTGAGATAATTGCCCTTCTCCTGATTAGCATCTTTATGAGAAAAGGAAATGATTGCTATGTGTGAGAAATCACGCTGCCTCTCGCTTCATAGGCAGTGGCGGTGATGGGAGACCAGGCTCCCAATCTGTAGGCTAGCCACACGCATAGCCTTTAAGGAGTGGGCATGGGATAAGTTAGTCTTTGGGGTCACTGTTCATCATTCAGGAGGTATGGGGGATACTACTGACTGAGCTGGATATCATGTGTCTGGGTTTGAAACTGAAGTCTCGGGTTGTGGAGACTCTCCGATCCCTCATCAGCGCAAACATCCCCGTGTTTCACGACTGTAATAGGCTATTTGACAAGCTCACCTCTTATATCCTTTGCGGCTTTCCAAGTTAAATTCCAAATCACCGGACATGCTCCCTGGGATCGGAACAGTGTGACAGTCCAATAAGTCATCCATTAAGGATGTCCGCATCTTCATCCCCAGAACCCCTGAACATGCTACTTTAGATGGTAGAAGAGACCTTGCAAACTTGAGTTCATTTTAAGGACCGTCAATTAGGAAATGTTTTGGATGAGATGGATGGAGTGAATGTAATTACATTCTCATAAGAGAGAAGAGGGTGAGGATGGGTCAGGATAAGAGGTATAACAAAGCAGAAGTTAAATGTGGGTGATGACATGGGGCCATTAGCCAGGGGGTGCAGGTGGCCCTGAGAAGTTGGAGCAGACCAGAAAATAAACGCTTCTAGAGTCCCTGAAAAACTTCAGACCTGCTGAAATTTTGATTGTAGTTCGAAGAAGGCAGTTTTGAACTTCTAGCCTCTGGGACTGCAAAATACTGAGTTTATTCTTGGAAGTTTGTTATAGCAGCAACAGAAAGTTGATGCTACCTCGGAAGGCCTAGCGCAGATGATGTCAACATCAAGATGCCAACATCTCCGATGACACAAGTTAGGGTCCTCTGAGAGGCAGAAATCTCAATTGAGAAAATGCCTTCATAAAATCTGCCTATAGGCAAGCCTGTTGGGTCTTCTCTTGATTGATGATGGATGTGGGAGGGCCCAACCCTTTATGGTGGTCCTGGACGGTGTAAGAAACTAAACTGAGCAATCCATAGGAAGCAAGTCAGTAAGTAGCATTGCTCCAAGGTCTCTGCTTCTGTTCCTGCCTATGTGTTGCTGCCTTGAGTTCCTGCCCCAACTTCTCTTGGTGATGGAGTATCCTCTGAGGCTTGTAAGCAGAAATGAACACTTTAATCCCCCAGTTGGTTCTGGTTTTATCACAGTAATAGGAACCCTAACGAAGGCAACGAAACTCTCTCTTACCCCCATACCTTCCATCAGAGTCTCCCATGCTGAAGCTGATATCCCAGAATTCACTTTTCCCAACTTTCCACTAACGCCGAGAATCACAGCTGCATCATGGTGTCATCACAGGGAGGGGCCACTAGTGACAGTGTCAGTCACTGTGAACAGTTAATGGGCGTGGCGTCAGCGGATGCTTGTTATAGTCGAATGGGGCAGATTGACTAGTGTCTATAAACACATTGAGCACTGTGGCTTCTGAGACAGTTGATACTTAGAAACTCTATGGGAAGTAGTGTTTACTACTGTCTTCATAGTGTCTTCACACAAGGAAAATGAGATATCATTTGTGGTATTGCTGAGTCTCTGCCCAGGTCTGCTTCAATCAAGATCCCCAACCTTCACACAGGAGAATTCGCGACCCAGCTCCAGTCCACTATGCACCTCCAGTAAAAAGAGCAGGCTCTTGAGTGGACAGGCTCTCTGGGAAGTCCTCTCTAGCTCTAGTGGCTATCCGGATCATGTAGGAACTTCCTATAACATTGGTTCCTGAGCCCATCTCC